TAAAAAAATTTTAATAAAAAAATGTTTTAAAAAAGAAAAACATTTAAAATCTTAATCCTATTTTTATCAAACTATAACTCACAATTTAAAATACCATTAAAAAAAAAATCACCTGTGGTTTATTAAATTCAATCGCTATGTCATGTAACTCAACATCCAGTTTTATCTTGGGGGCAGAAAAGTCAAAATCAGATCGGCGATTCATTTGAAGTTTGGCACTAGCAGATATGGGGCGAAATACTGGAAAATAATACAAATTTTAATAAATTAAACTGACTTATATTTCAAGAGTTTCACAGTACTAAAAGGATCAAGTTGATAATACTGATTTTCATTTCTTATACATCCTTTCTACAGTTCCATAATGCCATTACTTGGTCAGATGAACTATCATTTAATTGGTGAAAAAGTTTCTTCTATCTTTTTTCTACCTACAATTCATATTGTCATTTGTAAGTACAATAAAGGCTAACTAAACTCCCCCTCAAGATACTAATATAACCCTTAAAAGCAGGAATACTCTCTAAAAGGTAAAACAGTCCAATAATGTAGTTTTAAAAACAATACACAGTTTTAAAGAATAAAGGTACATTAGAAATGCAGGAAGAGAATATACAGGGGTGGACAAAAGTAGGGTAATAATACCAAAAAATAATACAATTAATTAAAAATAACAGTGTTTTGTGTACTCACAACTATAAACATACTCTTGTCTATCCCTGTATTTCATCACTGACTTCCATTATATAATTATAATTTCTGAATTTCTGATCAGTTTCTCTGTAGCCATCAGTTCCCCCTTTTAACTTGTAAAAGAAGACAGAAGATGAGTGAGAGTTTGCTCAGGATAACCTCCTTGGCTCAGCTCATAATCTAAGACAGATTACTCTCAACCCTTTGTATTGAGCGCCCAAAAGAATAAGAATAATGCAGAGGTAGACCAGTAATAGTAGAATCTAGACAAAGATAAACTATTCAATTATAAGCTACTTTGTGTACAAAGATATGATATCTCTTTTGTTTTGATCATCCCTGAGGCCTAGCGCTTAATTTTTTACACATTAAGTATCCAAACATACTTTTTTTTAAAAATCCTCATCCGAGGATATGTTTTTCATTGATTTTAGAGAGAGAGGGAGGGAGAGAGCGAGAGAAACATCAAAGTGAGAGAGAAATATCGAGATTGGCTGCCTCCCTGCACCCTGACTGGGGATCAAACACAAAACCTGAGTATGTGCCCCAACTGGGAATCGAAACCTGGACCCTTTGGTGCACAGGAGGACACTCCAACCAACTGAGCCAGGGCCAAACAAACTTTCACTATGAATGAAACAAGAAGATATTCATTAATAGATCATTGGTTAAATTCATTATGGTACATCTATACAATAAAATACTATACAGCTTAAAATGAGAAATGTTTATATGTATATATACAGCAAGTCTAAAAAAATATATGTATAAAGTAATATATGTATAAAGTAATATCAGTATTTAAAAATTAGCCCGGCCGGGTGTGGCTCAGCGGTTGAGCATCAACCTACGATCCAGGCGATCGAGGTTCAATTCTAGGTCAGGGCACATGCCTGGGCTGCAGGCCTGATCCCCAGTCAGGGGTGTGCTCAATGACTCTCTCATTATTGATGTTTCTATCTCTCTCTCTCTCCCTCTCCTTTCCTCTCTCTGAAATCAATAAGGATATATTTTTAAAAATTAATTAAATAAAAAATAAAATTATTCTTCTCCCCCAGCTTTAATTCTTGTGTTACATAAAAGATACACCATTCACTATACCATTCCTAGTTGCAATCACCTACCCATCACTGCTATACCTACTCCTACTTCTCTCAGACTTTAGTTCCTGGCAACTCTAATTTCTGATTTCAATATACAAATGATCTTCCCAAAACTATGGCCTCTCTCAGTTCCTTGGACTCCTCCACCCTTACCTCATCTACTAAACCTTATTACACCGATATCCTCGACCTCTTTATAAACTTGGTCTTAAGCATCAAACTCTCCTACCACCACCACCACCTCTCTCTTCAGTACTCTAATACCAAAACTTCAAGTCCTGGGGGACCTACCATTCATTGATCCTTTCTCTGTCCTTAATCTCTGCTACATGTTCTCAGTTCCCTCCCTACTCTACTGAAATTCCATGATCAGTTATTTCAATCATTCCAACCAGAGCCATGGCTATGCCTTTTCCAACAAGTTCTAGATCTCAATGCTGAGGAAGACAGACTCTCCTCTTTGGACACTCCGTCTTAGTCATAGTTCTTAGAAGCTGTTCCTTCTACCTACTATTCCTAGATTCTTCAGACTTCTCTTTACTTTTCAACAGACATTCCCTTTACTATTCCAATCCCCTGTTATAGTTGTAATTCTTTAACCTGTCCCTACTCAAAGTACTGTGTGGTTTCTCTCTCTCCTCATTGGGCCCTGACTGACATGAAATTACAGTAAATTAAAGGAAAAATAAGTCAAACCTAAAGTGACAGATTTGAGAATCATCAACACATGATAGACAATCCCATTTGTTTTAATGTTTCCTTTGAGGAGAGAATCAAGAAAATGAAACCAATACAAAACTATGAAAATGAGTGAGCACAAGAAGAGCCACTTCCAAAAATTAATAAAGAATACTTATAAAGGTAGAAGTATACAGAAAAGTATCAATGAAGCCAAAAATAAGTAAATACATACATACATACATACATACATACATACATAAATAAATACTTTCAGGAAGGATAATCTATGGTTAACAACATTGTCGGCCAATCCAAGAACTAAGTTATCCATTGCCAATCAACATTTATTGAGTGCCTTGAGGGTAGAAGAAAAAGCACTCCTTTTCTCTGCATATTTTAATAACGTATTTCTGATTATTAAAGTACTACATGTTCATTTCAGAAAGTATAAAACCAGAAAAATATATAAAGAAAAATTCAAGTACATATTTTTAAAACAGTAAGATCATACTATATAGACTATAGCATCTAGCCTTATTAAATTGTATTTGCCATGTCAAAATATCTTTAAAAATTATCATAATTATTATTAGTCATTAGCAACTTAACAATTTATTAACAACCTCTCTTATTAGACATTTTTCTCTCCTGGTTTTGATATATAGCTAAAAACTCCCAACAATGAATGATATATAAGTGTTTGCTTTTGCATATATATATCATAAATACATTTAATTACATGAGAAATTAACATGAAATACCACAGTGACATCAACAATGTTCATTTAAAATTTATGCTGATCAATAAAAATTGCAATTTTTATGTTATGAAATGTACTTACCAAAATCATAACCATCTGGAACAGTATTTTCATCAACAACGCCATTCTTCAAGCTGCCCTATTAAAAGACAAAATTTTTTATATCAATGCCAATATACCTTTATCTGACAAAATCCCATTATATGCAAAAGAAAAAAGTTTAAAAGCAATTAAAAAAAAAATTCAAACTTAGGAGGACTTTGATATAAAAAAATATTAAAGTGGTTAAATAATAGTTCATTAAAGACAATATCTCATAAAAGAATACCTTAGAAATATTAAGATATATGTGTATGTTTAAACATGTTTATATATAGACACATATACAAAATATAACAAAATTCAATATCCATTTATGATTAAAACACTTTATACCAAAATGGGTACAGAGGTACAATTACACTTGAACATAGTAAAGGGAATATATGACAAACCCACAGCTAATATAATACTCAACAGTGAGAAGTTGAAAGCTTTTCCTCTAAAACCAGTAACAAGACAAGGATGTCCACTGTTACTACTTTTATTTAACATAGTACTGAAAGCCCTACCCAGAGCAATTAGGCAAGAAAAAGAAATAAAAGCCATCCAAATTGGAAAGGAAGAAATAAAACTGTCACTATTTATATATGACATATTATGTATAGCAAACCCTAAGGACTCCACCCCAAAAAAACCCTGTTATAACTAATAAACTCAGTAACGATGCAGGATACAAAAATCAATATACAGAAATCTGTTGCATTCCTTATACACTAGTAACAAACTATCAGAAAGCAAAATTAAGGAAACAATCCCATTTTAACTGAATCAGAAAGAATAAAATACCTGGGAATAAATTTAACTAAGGAAGTGAATGACTGATACAATGAAAACTATAAGAATTTAATGAAACTGCAGACACAAATAAATGGAAAGATATTACACACTCAAGACTGAGAGAATGGTGTTAAAATAGCCATACTACCCAAAGCAATCTACAGATTCAATGCAATCCCTATTCAATTTCCAATGGCATTTTTCACAGAAAGAAAACAATCATAAAATTTCTATGAAATCACAAAAGACCCCAAATAGCCAAAGCAATCCTGAGAAACAAGAACAAAGCTAGAGGCATCACACTCCCTAATTTCAAACTCTATCACAAAGCTACAGTAATCAAAACAGTACAGTACTAGAATACAAAAAGACACATAGATCAGTGGAACAGAATAGGGTGCCCAGAAATAAGCCCATACACATTATAGTCAACTACTTTATGACAAAGAATTAAATTTGGGAAAACTGGACAGACATGTGCAAAAGAATAAAACTGTACCACTATCTTACACCATAAACAAAAATTAACTCAAAACAGATTAAAAATTTGAATGTAAAACCTGAAACCATAAAAATTCTGTAAGGAAATAAACATGGTAAGCTCTATGACATCAGTCTTAGTGATAACTTTTGGGATGTAACACCAAGAACAAATGCAACAAAAGCAAAAACAAGTGAGACTACACCAAACTAAAAAGCCTCTGCACAGCAAAGGAAACCATCAATAAAATAAAAAGGCAACCTACTGAATAGGAGAAAATATGTACTATTCATACGTCTGATAAGGGGTCAGTATCCAAAATATATAAAGAATTCATACAACGCTTAAGTAAAAAGAATAAACACTCTGATTAAAAAATGAGAAGTTCTGAATAATCGTTTTTTAAAAACAACAACATACAGATGGCCAACAGGTATGTAACAAAATGTTCAACCTCACTAATTATCAGGGTAGTGAAAATCAGATGACAATATAACATCATCTAATGCCTGTTAGAATGAGTATTATCAAAAAGACAAAACTTAACAAGTGTTAGAAAGGATATGGAGAAAAGGAAACCCTTGTGCAATTTCGATAGGAATGTAAATTGGTGCAACCACTATGGAAAACAGTACGGAGATTCCTCATAAAATTAAGAATAGAACTACCTTATGATCCAGCAACACCACGTCTGGATACTTATCCAGTAAGTACCAATAAAACACATTCCAATAAAACAAAAACACTAACTCTAAAAGATATGTGCATCCATGTTCACTGTAGCATTATTTACAATAGTCAAGATATGGAAACAACCTAAACATCCATCAACAGATGAATGAATAAAGAAAATGTGACATACATATGTAATGAAATATAATCCAGCCATAAAAAAAGGAGGAAATCTTGCTATTTGAGGCAATACAGGTGGACCTTGAGGGCAGTACACTAAGTAAAATATATCATCAGACAGAGAAAGACAAATATTGAATGACCTCACTCATATGTGGAAACTAAAACACAAACTCATAAACACAGAGAACAGACTGATAGTTGCCAGAGGCAGGGCGTGGGTGGTGGCAAAATGGATGATAGTCAAAAGGTATAATCTTCTAGTTATAAAATAAGCATGTCATTGGGATTTAACATATAACATGGTGACTATAGGTAATAATACTGTATCACATATTTAAAAGTTACTAAGGGAATATTAAAAGTTTTCCTCTCATGAAAAAACACTTCGTAATTGTGTATGGTGACAGATGTTAATTAGAATTATTGTGATTATTCTGCAATATATACAAATATTGAATCATTGTTATATACCTGAAACTAATATAATGTTTTATGCCAATTATTAAAAACAAGGTGTGTATTTATACATGTTTGTATACAAGTACATATATATTCACCTATTTCTGTAAATTCTGCTCACTGATTTTGCCGCCTTAAAAAAAATGACCACTGACTACAATACATTAGATAAATGACAATGAATAAAATGTTATGAAAAATATACCAACAAATGTGTATATACACATATAAAAAAAAAATTTAATGGAGCTGCCTTTTGACCCAGTGATTCTACTCCTAGGAATGTATCCTAAGAATCCTGAAACATTAATAAGAAAGAATATTATGTACCCCAATGTTCATAGCAGCACAGTTTACAATAGCTAAGATCTGGAAATAGCCCAAGTGCCCATCAGTAGATGAGTGGATAAAAAAGCTGTGGGACATATACATCATGGAATACTACGCAGCTGTAAAGAAGAAGAATCTCATACCCTTTGGGACAGTATGGATAGACCTGGAGAAAATTATGCTAAGTGAAATAAGCCAGGCAGAGAAAGACAAATATCACATGATCTCGCTTATACGTGGAATCTAAAGAACTTAATAAACTGAAGAACAGAATATATTCAATGACATGGAAGCATAGATCAGACTGAGGAATGTCAGAGGGATGGAGGAGGGCGGGTGGGTGGAGGGGGAGAGAGTAACCAAAGAATTTATGTGCATATATGTACAACCCAAGGACACGGATAGTGGTGGGGAGGGGGATGGGATGAGGTGGAACCGGTCATTGGGGAGAAAAAGGGACATCTGTAATATTTAAAAAAAGAAAAAAAGAAAGCATACCTGTAGCCCAGCCAGTGTGGCTCAGCCCTTGAGCATTGATCTGTGATCCAGGAGATCGCGGTTCAATTCCTGGTCAAGGCACATGCCTGGGTTGCGGGTTTGATCCCTTTTGTGGGGCATGCAGGAGGCAGCCGGTCAATGACTCTCTCATCATTGATGTTTCTATCTCTTGCTCCCTCTCTCTTCCTCTCTGAAATCAGTAAAGATATATATATTTAAAAAAGAATACTTGTAAATCCTTTAAATTAAAGTTGAATATATTATGCCCCTTTTCCCTTAAATGCATGTGTATTTCCTGAAAATAAGGACATTCTTTTTTATAACCACTGTAAGTTATGAATTTCAATAAATTGAACATGGGTACATTTCCCTAATATATACTATCCATATTCCAATTTTGTCTTTTCACCTCATGTCCTTTTTGGTCTGCGTTTATAATTTTAATAAAAATGACAAGATTTTCTCCATAAAGTTGGTGCCACTATACATTCCGTAGAGTAGTACATGGGAATTCACGATTTACCCTCCACTTCACGGACACAGTGTTAACACTTTTTGACAGTCTGTTGGAGAAAGAATGATACTTCACTATAATTTGCATTTCTTTCTTATTATGGATAAGGTTGAAGATATTCTCTTGTATAAAGAGTTACTTATTTGGAGGGTGGGGGTGGAGTAGAAGGGGTCAATGGGGAAAAAGGGGAACATCTGTAATACTTTCAACAATAAAGATAAATTTTTAAAAAAGTTACTTATTTGTACTTCCCTTTTGTAAACCATCTGTTTTATCCTATGTCTATTTTTCTACTGGAATGTTAGCTTTTAAAAAACTGATTTGTAGGAATTACTACTTTATTGTGAAACTCAGCCATTTGTCAGTAATATGAGTTGCAAATATTTTTCCCAGTTTGTCATTTCCTTTTTGTCCTTGTTTATGGTGTTTATTGTTGTTGCTGTTTGTTTGAATTTGGGCCATTTTGAAACCATGATGTCCTGGCTGGACAAATTGTGAATATTTTGCATTGTATTTAGACTTAATCAAGTCCACAAATGTTAGGCTATCAGTAGAGCAATATAAGAAAGGAAAAACCAGGTTTTCACCTCTTGGTATAAAGGGGTGAGTAAAACATAATACATTTATTTTGGACTTAAATAATTGCTACTATCCACACTGTGCCTGGGCTGTTATCTCTGGCTCTCAAAGAAAAAAAGAAAAAAAACACAACAGAACAGTTATGGTGAATCTATGTAATGTTGCCTGAAACTTGATCATATCCAGGCCCTACCTAGGTCTTGGAATTTTGGAAACTAAACACCACCACAGGAGAACACTGTAATCTTACTGGTTTGGAAACCGTGGTATTGGTAGGATTTCTGGTCTTTATTTTTTATTATTTTGGGTATCTTTCTTCAATATTTTTTGTATCCAAACTCACAATTTTTATGATAAAGGAATTTCTTTTAAAGTTGATTAGATGTGTTTTTTAAATATGAAATTGCTTTAAACCATTAAGTAGTGTTAATGGGGATATTCATCATAGAAATTAACTTAAAATATTTAGAAATATAAAAAAGTACTCATAACTGTAATGCCTGATTCTGTTTCTATAAAAGCTGATACGCACATATTTTCACATTGCAGAGTCACACTGGTAGTCAGAGAAACATGCTGACGTTGTTCTTCCAACAACCCTAGTTTGGGTTTCATGAAGCATTTTTTTCCACTTCTTGTTTTTCTATGTGTAATACTTTCTTAGTTTCTTGGAAAAATAATCAACATTTCCTCTGGGTGTACTTATAATCATAGGCATATGCCAAGCGTGAAAAGTGCTCATCAACATTGTTTTAAAATATACTTCACACAAAAATGGGCCCCTAAATCAGAGGTTAGAATTAATAAATGGCAGTTTGCCTACATTTCACTGTTTTAGAGATTTAACTTAGTTTATAGACTAATTTAGGGCTAGGTAACTTTGGCAGCCTTTGCATTTTCAAAATATGCTTTTCTATAGTTAAGAGTATCTATACAGTATAAATTTTATACTGTAAGTGGAAATAAAGTAAAAGGCCAATCAGAATCTGTTATTGTGTGCATATCTCTAGTCCAGAATGACTGAAAAGAATAAAAGGAGGCAGACATACTGATTTTGAATTTGTATTACACATTATTAGATTTATCAGACATAAAATTACCCTTTCAAATAGCTGTAAACATTTTGAAACAGTCTTATTTTCTTTAGTTGTTTTGTCATGAACTGGCCATAAGTAGGTCACAGACTGGCCCCTATCCGTGGACCACTTTAAGCACTGGTCTCAATGACTATAATTCATGCTGAGCCAGTAGGTGCTATAGATTATTTGACTCCCTTTTGGGGAGGAGGTTGTCTTTTGATCTTTCAGTTTTTTTCAATGAGTCTCTTAATCAATACTTAAGCACAAGTAACCACAGATATCATACAGACTATACAGTTTTACGCACTAGATGTTTTTAACTTTACAGTCATAAGCATTTTATCATTTCATTAAAGATTCTTCATAATTTATAATCATAATTAATAATGGTTCTGTGACAGTCTATTATGCAAATGTACAAAAATCCATTTAAGCATTTTTCTAATGTTTGCTATTTATTTGCTAATATTAATAATGCTCTTGTGATAATCTTTGTGTGTAAATATCTGCTACTTTCCAGATTATTTCTTTAAGGTCAATGAAACAAAGGTATAAACTCAAGGTATGAACTCAAACAAAGGTTTGTAGTAATTTCCATTCCCATAAGTAGTGGTATAGTGGTTTACAGGACCTGCCTTACCAGCACTGAGCACCACTAAAAAATACACACACACACACACACACACACACACAAAATACATACACACACTTAACTTGGTGTACGAGGTTTTGTTTTTGTTTTTTAAATTTATTTTGTTGAAAGTATTACAGATGTCCCTCTTTTTCCCCCATTGACCTCTTCTACCCCACCCTCTTAGTTGACAGCCTTTTTAACAAGGTGATGAACATCACGTCATAGTGCTGATTATTAGTATTTGAACAAGATGTTAGGGTTGTCTTAATCACTATAGAGTAGTCAATGTGGGGTTTTAAAAAAAGAATTGATTTGATAGTGTCTATCTTAGGTTGTCAGGGTTATTTTTATTCTTTAGAACTTCTGGTATAAAGTGAACTGCTCTGAAAGAAAGTTTCTTTTGTGGGGAATTATTTTTAAAATGTGTATGTGGAAATGAGGCAAGTAGGAATTTTATTTCTCTAATGGAAAAAATACAAACTGTTTTATCAAATATTTCTGTTTATTATTTGTTCATTCAAAGTATATTTGGAATGTTTATCATCATGTGATCTTAGAATATACAGTACAGCCAGCTTCTTAAAACTCCAGTTTAAATGAGCCACGGGTCAGATAATATTCCCTGTAAAATATAATGACACACATGCTCCCCACCCCTGTTGGAGTTGCACTCTGGTTTCCCTGGAGGCCTGTATTAGTTTAGTTCTATGGCACCAGCGTTATCAAGATTTCACTTTGGAAGAACATAGTTTTTAGAGAAACTATGTTATTTTTCTGTTTCCACTTAAAGCAACTCTGTGGAAAGCTACAGACTAATCCCTTTTCCTTTGACTTTCGTGTTATAGCAGAGAACTAGGTAGGGCCAGCTTCCTATGTAGTCATGCAGGGCTCTGTGCTTAGGAGGGTCTCATGCGTGGTTTAATTTTTTGCTGTCAGAATCTTAAAATTCTTACTAATTTTATGTTTGATCTTGTTTTGTAAATGAAGTCCAATGGGACAATGGAGACTGTGCTCAGGGTCTGGGGTCTTGGCTCATGTGCAGTTCTGCCTCTCCACCTCCCCAGGCCCTGCCCCCGGTCCACTGCTGCTCTTCACCTGAGGTGGTGACTGGGTGATTTTGGGAAGGAGCAGGCCCATTTTGCTGTCACCCTTCACCTCTTGTGAGGATGTAGGGAGGGTTGGGGTCAGGTGCCTGTGTCTTGCAGTGTGGAGAGTAGTGATAGTGGCCAACTCGATTCTAGTCTGGTAGCATGCTGGCATGTTTGCTAGGTCAGTCTCCAGCTCACCCCCAGTCACCCCCTAGTATATCCAGGTGTGGAATTTTAAAGACCCTTGGGCATCCCTCACGTACTGTGGATTGCTATGATTGGCCAACGGGCAGGGCAGATCCCTGGCTCTACTTCCTCACGGCCTCGGTCTAGTGGGTAGTTGCAAGGGAAAGCTCAGCAGCCATCATACCTGAGTGTATACTTGCAGCAGAACCCCCACCCCTACCCTCTGCCCCTGTGAGCATCTGCACTTTTCCCATGGGTATCCTTGTGTCCGAAGGAGCACTCTGTTGAGTTGGCTGCAAGCAAGGGGACACCCTCTGTTCCTCTTCCCAACCTTCTTGAGTCTGGCCTGAATTTGTCTCTTCTGGCTGGCTTGAGGTACCTCTGGGGGGAGCTAAAAAATACAAATTGCATAATTTAGGTGGTTTTACATATGAGTTAAATGCTCTTCCATTTGCATTTAAAACTGTCATTGCATTCCCAAGAGTTGAGTTCAGTTCAGGGCAGCTTCCCTGTTCTGTTAATTAAACTTTGGGACATCGAANAGATAAAACATCCGAGACTTCACATTCCAATAAGCAAAAAGGTTATCCAATCGGATTAACTGAAAATAAACAGTTCATCATATGTCTCACTTTCTTTGAAGGGTCTTTAACATATGCTATTTTCAGAAGGCTCAAATAACTGAGTGATATAACAGAGTTAAGCAAGTAAACACAATTTGAATAAATCTATATTATATATTACATCAGCTTTTCTAAAACTCTCTTGTCAACCCTAAGGGTTGACAAAATATAATATTTGATAATTTTACCTTACGAAATAGTTTCTCAGTTTCATCATGTCGACATGGAACCCAGTTTGAATCAGTTGTCTGAAAAGGAAAAATGGCAGTAAAAGTGTAATTTTCATATGCTATATGGCAGAGTGACAAATCGTATCAATCATTCCCTGGATCAATTTCCCATGAAAATGCTCTTGAAAACATAACATACAAAGAATATTAACTGACCACAAGAAAGTCTCTGCTTTCAAGGAGCTCATTAATTGGTTGAAAAAGCAAGTAAGTAAAGAAGCAATTACAAACAAGTGCGTGCCACTCTAGAAGTTAAATATACAATACTGGGAGAACAGCGTAGCAACCTCAAACCCAAAGGTGTGATGAAGAAAGTGATGTCTAACCTAATATATAACATATGAATAGAAATTATTGATTCTAAGGATGGTAGGGAATATGATTCATTCTAGGAAGATATACAAATATATAACACATTCAGAGAATTAAAGTGGACCAGTATGGCCAGAAAACAAAATGCAAAACAAAAAAAGAGTTGAAACCAGATATGTTACCTGGGATCAGATTATAAAAGGATTATAAAGGACAACTAAACTATGGACTTTATTCTAAGAGCAATAAAAAGCCACTGAGGAGAATAGTGATCAGATGCTTATTTAAGAAGATTGTTTTCATTTTTTGTAGAGAACAGAATGGATTAGAATAGTGGTTCTCAGACTTTACTATGCAATAGGATCACATAGAGGGCTTTTTAATACATGACTGCTGGGCCCATATCTGAGTTTCTAATTGAATAGGTCTGGGCTGGGGGACAAGTTTCCAAGGATCTCCAAAGGTGATGGTCAAAACCAATGCTGTCACAGTCACCATGACCTTCACAATGCCAAATCCAACAGCTAATTCTCCATCCTTATTTTTCAAGTAACAGCAGCATTTGACAGTTTACCTCACCCAACATTATTGAATAACTTTTTATTTGCCTTTTCCTTTTTCGTTTTTTTTGCTTAGAGTAGACCCACATTTTAAAATAATGTCATACACAAAAACCCAATGGATATAGCAAATAAAAGCATGTAACGAAAATACTATACAGCAGTTAAACTGAATGAATTGAATTACATGTGGCAAGACAGATGTCAAAAACATTGTGAAGAGGAAATGGGAACTTATAGAAGAATCTCATAAAATATTTATGTAAATTTTAAAAACCTACCCTATACTATATACAATTTTAATGGCTATATTACATAGAAGTTTAAAATTTTAGGATGTTTATCTCTGGGGGAGGAAAGGGTAAGGTAGAGGACAAAGGGATTTAAACTTTATTCATTACAGTTTACTCTTTTAAAGTAATTTAAAACTTAAACCAAATGACAAATTGAATAATGGTTCATTCTGGTTGCTGGCAAATGTTTCATACTCCTCTGTGTGCTCCTATATTGTAAAACTCCTCAACTTGAAAAATTAGACAAAAAGAAAGTATGCCACATTAACAGTGGTGGTAAGGACACAGTAGTTTGTTTCTTTGTACTTTTCATGACTTATCAAAGTTTCTAAAATGAACATTTATTACCTTTATTTTACACGTACTCAGGAATGGATTATTTTAAGTAAAAAAGTATCAAATATCAAAATTAGCAAATGGTAACAGGCCCTTGTATTTTAACTTCAGTTTATCAACCATTTTTTTCCAATGTGAAATTACCTATCCTCAGTTCCAATCCAATCTATGCACTTTTGTATCAATTCTATATAGACACCTATTTCTGATGCTGACATAAATGAATAGCAATTAGTAGTCTGATTAATTATACTACACAATATGATTAAATTTATTTTTAAACAAAGTACCTGCATGCTGAGGTTTTGAAGGGAAATACCAAATGACAGAGGGTTGTCTCGATTTGTGATCTAAAGAGGAAACAGTAAATTTTACTCAGATTTTAGTAGCTGGACAAAATTCACATTATAGAAAATGTTCACTTTCTGGGCAGTAGGCAATTTCAAACATTCAAAAACATTTAATACTACAGAACAACTTTTATTCCTATATTTTTTCCTGACACAATACTAATTAAAACATTAAGTATTAATGCATTAGTGCTGTACAATACTACATCTACATAAATGTTTTACAGTTTACAAAAAAGAAGCTTATAACAAATGACTGACCCTCAGAATAGTACCATGAGAAGCTAATTATGATGTGTTTTAGAGAGAATATATGACCTACCTGAGATCAATTAGTTAAGTCTTGCTTAGCTAGACCAGTGCTCTCTCCAGGAGATAAATATCATATAGTTTAAAGTACCTTAAAACTACATAATAGCTAACTTCATAACTTCCACCTACCAAAGGTGATAAGAAAGGCATTTTCTTTCATTATCTAATGTTTGAACATTTTAGGAAAGTGTAATCAAGGCAGTAAGGACTGAAAATTACAACTATAGTTATAGAAAAGAAAGATCATGTCATCTCTAGTCCTATCTCTCCACTTCCTAGCATCTAATTGGTGGGCTACTGTAGAATATATATAAACACAAGTTTCATCTGTTAAAATACTTACATCATCTTCATAACGAATATGGATGCTGGAAATTTTCACTTGAAGATTTTTTATGATCTGAGTAATTAATTTTTCTGTAAAAGTGTCTTGTTTCTCCGCCAGGATTTTTTCTAGAATTGCAAATATTCCTTTTTAAACTTGAATGAAAAATAAATTCTATAAATATCCACATATTAAGGCAACATAAATGTTATCTTGTTAAAGAAAAAAAATATATTTGTAGATTTCCTTTCCAAAAGTCTTCTGTACCAAAAGACTTTCAAAAGCAACTAAATAGTTTCCAAAAACTAGTTTTTTGTTCAGTGAAACTAAAGCCAGCCTTGCAGAATTTATTGGCATTAAATTTTATAACTTCTGTTAATTACACCTACGTACATAAAGATATGGAAAACAATGAAGATTATTAGGTAAGAATTATAATAGGCTTAAATGAGAAAAGCAGAGAAATCAGCAAAGACGGAATCTCCCTTAAAATTAGAGACAACATCGTAAGTTGTCTGTGGTTAGATGTATAAAATAGTTGAATATGGCCCTCCTCCTGATGAATACAAAGTAGGAAGATGTAAGATCATTTCCCTCTCTCCTTTACAGCAAGGATGAAGGAAGTTCATCATCTGTTTCTTTTTCTAAAATCTATTTAATATCTCCAGTTTCAATACCTTTTAGGTGAACAGAAAGAATAAAAAATTGAGGTTCCTAGTTTTTTTTAACATGCCTTTGATAACCACTAGTTCCAACTCCTATTTCCTCCACTTAAAAACGCCAATGGAAGCTATCTCCTTTCCTCTTTCTAGTCCTGCTCCACCTGCATATACAAATTATCTTTTCCTCTAATGACCTACTACTCCCTAATTCAGCTGGCCCAGGAGGCCTTAAAGGAAAACTGATGATGTCATATGTACATCAAAAGCAAGTGTGAGTGAATGAGAGGTTAGTGAAAATATCTGAATATACAAGGACTTTAGAATTAATAAGTAGACAAAAAAAAAAAAACACACCAGAAAATAATAAAGCAAAAGATTTTACTAACTAGTGATGTGATTCAAAGATTAAAAACTGTCTTCAAAGAGCATATATGTGTAAAAATGATTAAGATGATAAAATTTTATGTGTATGCCACAATAAAAAAGTATTTTTTTAAAAAAGGATTGAGGGTAGGTATGAATGACTACACTGGATATGAAAGAACTGTGACAGAGAAGAAAAAATAATTACAGAAAATGTTGCCAGGAATTGCATTAAATCTCCTTTAGTATTTTTTACCTGTTTGTCTTACTGGGTCTTATTTTTTATTTTAAAAAAGTAATGTATGGCAAGGATAGTGAAATCAGTATATATCTTCTTTTAAGACACTTAACTTTTAAATAAAGGACAGAGGAGAAGATAAACACATGACTAGGTTAGGAAGAGACGACTTTATGTTAGAAGATAAGAATGGCTACAGTATATTTACATTCTAAGAAGAAAGAATCAGTAGAGGGAGAATTTAGAGTCTGCGTACAAAAAAACAGCTGCTGATGCTGCATGCAGCACAAGTAGAAAGGGATTAGATTTCTGCAGGACATCTCTTCCACCAACAAAAGAAGGAGTTGAAGTAATGGACCATTTGGTCTAGGCTGAACAGGAAAGGATGTGAAGCTGGGAGGTAAATAAACAGATTTGGGAAAATATAAATATACAAAGGGACTAAGCATATCCAAAAGGTGAACTGATATAAGAAGAATAAAAAAGAAAAGGCTAGAAATGTAAAAAACCAAACTTGATTAATTACTGTAGTTAAACACTAACCTTACCCTTATAAGCTGGGTATATTATTTGCCCTAAGTCAAATGTCTACAAGATAAAATTTCTACAAACATGATAAAGCACACATTAAAATGCCCCATGTAATAAGATTCTCTCATATTTGTTAAGTAATCTCAGTGCTTCCAGAAAAAAATAATATTCAAATATGATCAATATTTGGGTATTTTCCCCATTTCTTATTACCATTCTTCGTTTTCTTTACCTTGATCAGCTACTTTTTGTTTGGCTTCTTCTATTCTTTTTAGTTCCTGCTGCTTTATTTCCAAGAGCTGCTTTTCTTCTTTTAAAGGATCATATCTTATTACTATAGGAAGCATAAAAAGGAAGAATCTTAATTACCTTAAATTTAAGTATACTCATTCCAAAACATATACAAGAAAATAAACACTAATTCCAAGTCTGCAAAAATTTAGCATAAAAACCAATTTAATTCAATGACCTCATATCAAATTTAAATATTTTTAAAAATCACAAAAAATTCCCCAAAAATATACAAAGACTTTCCATCCACAAAAAAAGAGTAACTTAAATTATAATGTCTAAAATTTGACTTACTAGAAGAAGGCACTATGAGTAAATAAATGTCTTCCAATACAGCCACAACTGGTTGAGTATAAAGGTTTTTCCATGGAATTGTAAGATTAAGATTACCTACATAAAAAACAAAAATATTCATTTAACATGCATTTACTGTCAACCTATTTTCTGTCAGTCATTAGAAGACATAAAGTGGCCTCTGACATTACAACAAGCTCAGTCACTTTATAGAAAGCTATTTTACAATGAAAAGTAAGCCTCTGTTGTGAAATTTTGAAATTATTTGTATTAGTATTGTTGGAAAACCTACTAAATGATATCCTAAATATTTACAAGTTTCTATTTATGTCAAGCTGTTCTATTTATGACAAACGTACTAATATTTATTCTTCTTCCATTTACCAACAATACTTGATATTACAACTTAGAATCTCCCCATTCATACTCTAAATCTCCATAAGAAATACTTTCCTTATGCTTTAAAAAAGTAGATTATATACTTTATGTAAGTGTTTATTTTTCACACACAGGGATTATATATACAGTCATGTGCAGCTTAACAACAGGGATACATCCTGAGAAATTCATTGTTAGGTGGCCTTTGACATTGTGTAAACATCATACAGTGTGCTTACTACACAAACCTAAATGGTCTAGCTTACTATGCACCTAGGCTACGTAGTATAGCTTATTGCTCCTAGGCTACACGCTTGCACAGAAGGTTACGGTACAAAAAAACATGAAATTAAATCAAGCACAAGAGAAAATGATGCAATCAGGAGACTGAGTAAGCACAAGATGTATGAGGCTCCTGCTGGAGTAACACTGCATACTGATTTACAGCAAACTTTTTTTTTTTTAAGTAGAAACAGTACAGTCTAAAATAATAATAAAAAGTATAAAGTGTAGCCCTGCTGGGGTGGCTCAGTTGGTTGGAGTGTCATCCCGAACCCACAGGTTGTGGGTTCGAATGCAGTCAGGGCACATACCTAGGTTTCAGGTTCAATTCCCAGTCAGGGCCATTACAGGTGGCAACTGATTAATGTTTCTCTCTCTCTCTCTTCCCCCCTTCCTCTCTCTAAAATCAATAAAAAAGTCCTCTCTCTAAAAAGAAATCAATAAAAATATATATTTTGAAAAAACACAAAAACCCTCAAGTGAGGATTAAAAAAAATTTTTTTAAGTATAAAGTATACTTTAGTAAATAAATACATAAAACAGTAACAGTCCTTTATTGTCTTTATGAATTATTCTGCACTGTACATAAGTGTATGTGCTATACTTTTATACTGGCAGTGCAGGTTCACTTACCCCAGCACCACCACAATCACATGAGTAATGCGTTGAGTTCCAACAGCTATGAAATCACTAGGCAGTAGGAATTTTTCAGCTCCATATAATCTTATGGAACCATATCATATAATTGGTCTGTTGTTGACCAAACCATCGTTACGCAGTGCATGAACGTATGTACAATAACATTCATGTGTATGGTTATCACCATAAGAGTATATACACACAAATATCTCTGGTATCATGGGAAATATTTGAAAATTATTCAAACTAATGAAAATATTTTACAATCCAATAGCAAAAAACCATTAGAGTCCTCGAATAAAAAAATACCATGTAAGGGGTTGTTTATACTATTGATTCTAGCTTTGTGTATTTAGAAATTTCCATAATAAAGAGTTTAAAATATTTTTAAATTCTTTAGAAAGCATGAGTCTTTAGATTTGGAAATAGCTGTCATAATTGGGAAAGGGAAAGATAACCAAATACACTATTATCACATTAACTGGTTAGTAATTTGGGAAGCAAAAAATCTTCTTAGATCAATCTCTTTCCATAACCCACATTTAAAAAACCCAAATCAAGCCCTGGCTGGTGTGACTCAGTTGGTTGAAGCATTGACTCATACACCAAGGGGAGGTGGGTTTGATTTCCCGTCAGGGCACATTCCTAGGTTGTGGGTTCAATCCCCAGTCGGGTGCGTGCAGGAGACAACCGATCGATGTTTCTCTCTCACAGCAATGTTTCTCTCTCTCTCTCTCTCTCTCTCTTTCTCTCCCTTCCTCTATCTAAAAACCAATAAACATATCCTTGGGTCAGGATTTTTTTAAAAATTCTGTACAGTACAAAATGTAACCAAAATGAAATGAGTTGTGACAGATTTGACAGTTTATAACTACATCAAGCAGACTGGTCACACACATATACACACATACATTAATCAAAAAAAGTAAATGAATTTAAGCACAGAGAACAGTGACGAAATAACATTAAGTAATCAAAGAAAAACATATAAAATTAATAATGTAACATTTTCACACCTAAATCTTTTTTTAACCAAACCTTTTTTCTCTCATTATAAGGTACTGACTTCTTATAGAAAATTTGGAAACTTCATAAAAATATAAATGAAGGTAATCCCAAAAACCTCCTACATGAAGACAACTAATTTTAAAATACATATGTATATATGAATATTTATATTTGATGTATGTGGAATTTTGCATTCCAAATGAGGAAAATTTTGAAAGATCAGTAAGATTAACAATACCCAATAATAGCAAGGGAACAATATGTTCCTATAAAACTGGTTGTACTACTGTACCACTCATTTGGGAACATATTCTTTCATTCAACAAATTATGTTCCCACTATATGCTAGGTATTGTGCTAAGCAGTGTGAATACAATATAAAATCCACTTTTTCTCAAGAAATTTATTGTCTAGCAGAAGAAAAAAAATGTTGATATTGAAGAATGACAGGTGCTCTGATAGAGGTATGGAAACACCACCTTAGAATCTCAAAATTACCTTGTGTATTAGGTACTTAATACAGTGTACTTTCCACTATCTTATATTAACACTGAAAATTACCTGATTATCATTGTTAAATATGGTCATGCAAGAAAACAGAGGAAGAAAATAAGGCAGGCTCTAAATGAAATCAGATCTATCTACTCTCCTTGGACTTTTTTTTACTTTTCTTGAATTGATGTTAAATTTATAAACAATGAAATACGATGATCATAATTATGAAGTTCAATTACTTTTGGAAAAATTTTTAAAGCTACATGAAAATATTTACTGTAATATTTTTATACCTTTGGAAACACAGGATTACTCTACAATGTCCAAATACGTATTCATTGGAGCATAACACTACCATAAAAGAGGTCAAATCAACATGGATTATGAGAAATCTTTATTAAAAGTTAACTGAAAAAATAGACTATGAAATCATATATATATACCATGATTACAAGTAATTAAAATGTACACGTAAAAAATCATACAAAAATATGCAAAAATAAATGTTAAGTGGAAAGGTAATAGGTGACATTTATACTAAAGCGTCTTTAAATTGAGGGGGAAAGAGAGATCAAGTCTCAGCAATGTAAGATGAAAACTTTCTTGGGCAAATGGCCTAACACCAACTATAAGTACACAAAATTATGGAGATATTAATCACTTAACTTAGATGAGCTTTCAAAATACTCTGTTCCCCCACTGACGCCAATATGTTGCAACAACATTACATAAATCCTACTACACAAACTATACAACAAAGTGTATCTATATACTTTCAAGTCTCAAGTAATGATACTATCATCATCTTTGCGTGATATTGAAAGCAATAAAGTTCAAACAGTAATTTAAACAATAAAGTTAAAACAATAAGCCAACATAATTTAAGAAACCAAACATACATGTTTTTATTAAACATTTTAAACATTGTATTCCAATCAGTTTTGCTCAAGCAATACATATAAAATGTGAAGTATGACTTAGGGTGTTGAACACACAATAGAGTATACAGATGATGTGTTGTGGAACTGTGCACCTGAAACCTTTATAATTTTGTTAACCAGTGTCACCCTAATAAATTCAATTTTTTTAAAAAGGAAAAAATGTCAAGTATGAACACCAGGAAAATAGTGCAGAACAAGAACTAGCTCAATAATCATGGCAACCTAGAAAACTTCCAGAGCAGAAATTCAGTTTCTTATAGGTCACTAGCCACACTGTGCAGTTGATATAGGCCCTAGTCCTTACACCACATATCCACGGCCAATCAGAATACAGAAAAGATAACTAGTCAGAAACCTAAGGCACTGAGTGAGTTATGCTCTCTATTAACGGTTTGGCTCTCAACTCATTTTTAACATCTAATAAGACGTATAATTTCATACATATTGGGCAAGGAATATATGGACCACACACTATTTCTATAATACAATTAAGCTCCACCTAGATAAAAACATATGCTTATTTCTGACTAATGCTCAAAAACATTAAAAATATCACATTCTAGATATACTAAGCATATTATTCTGGTTGCATGTTAAGCGAAGAGAACATTCAAATAAACACTGCTTACCTATATGTCCAACTTTAATTTTAAATGGTACATCCAGTTGACTCTACAAAAAATACACAGATGTGAAATATTAGTACACATACAGTTCAACAAAACAGATGATTACATTTTTCTTCATAGAATTACTTAAAGGGTTTAAGTTAACTTACACCTTTCCTTTACCTTTAGCACTTATTTAAATTTATAAAGAAAGAACTGGATTATTGTTCTCAAATCCATAAAATTCAAGAAGACTGACCTTTTAAAAATAAATAGGGAAAGGGTTCTAGAGTAATACTGACCACCTAAATTACCTATACCAGAATCACTACCACCTATACCTTGTCTGGGTAAAAAAAAGGGGGAGGGGAATCCACTGTCAGCGAGTATTTATAAAGGGATTAAAATTCCATTTTGGGGAAAAAAATCAAAAAAATGTCTCCACATTCAATGGGGAAAAGGGCAGCCTTTTCAACAAATGGTATTAGGATAACCGGATACCCATTTGCAAAAGAATGCAATATACACAAATTAACTCAAAATGGACCAAAGACCTAAACATAAGAACTAAAACTGTAAAACACTTTGAAGAAAACATAAGGTAAAATTTGGCAATAATTTCTTCGATATCACACCAAAGGCAAAGGCAACAAAAGAAAAAAAGAGATAAAATTCAGTTTCATCAAAATTAAAAACTTTTGCACATCAAAGGACACTATCAACAGAGACATAAGACGACACATGGAATGAGACAATATATTTGCAAATCATAAATCTGAAAAGGGTAAATATCCAGAATATATAAAAAACTATATAAATTGACCCCCCCCAAAAAAAACCCAATTAAAATATTGATAACAGTGGAACAACAAATCAATGTTTCTCTTTCTCTCTCTTCCCCCACCCCAAAAAAGCAATCAATACAGTTTTTAAAATATTGATAATGGTTTTCAGTAGTCATTTCTCTAAAGAACATAAACAAATGGCTAATGAACACATGAAAAGATGCTCAACCTTACTAGTCATAAGAGAATTGCTAAGAAAAACCAAAATGAGATACCACTTTACACCCATTAATTAGGATGGGTATTATAAAAAAACAGGGGGGAAAATGTTGTCAAGGATGTGAAGAAACTGAAACCCTCCTGCATTTCCAGTGGGGATATAAAGTGATTCAACTGCTATAGAAAACAGCGTGGCAGTTCCTGAAATGACTAAAAATAAAATTACCATATAATCCAGCAATTCAACTCCTAGACATTTACCCACATGAATTGAAAGCAGGGACTCGAACAGTGTGTGTATGCCAATATTTATAGCAGGACTATTCATAAGAGCCAAAAGACAGAAACAATCCAAGTGTCCATAAAAAGGAAAGATGTTCTGAAACATGCTACAACATGGATGAACCTTGAAGGAATTACAATGAGTGAAATAAGCCACATACAAAATGACAAAAATAGCATGATTCCACTTATTTGAGGGACCTGGAACAGGTAAATTAGTAGAAAATAGATTAGAGGTTACCAGGGTCTACAGGGAGAAGGAATGGGGAGTTTTTGGGTTTTTTTTTGGTTACAGGGTTCCCTCTGGCATAATGAAAAACTTTTGGAAACAGATACTGGTGATGGTTGCATAACATTGTAAATGTAATTAATGCCACTCAATTCTACAGTAAAAAATGGTTAAAATGGTATAAAATATTGAGGATGACTAAGGAAATAAGTTAAAAAACATATAGAAACAAATATAACATTGTATATCAATTATACTTTAATGAATGTTTTTAAAAATAAGGCCATAAAGAAAGAATTAGAAGTATTTTTAAATGGAGAAAATTTCAGAGTCAGTTTGTGCTTTTAAGGAAATTAAGAATCCATTTTGCAAAATTCACATTTTACAAAATTTATTTTTCACAAAATATTCTCAAAATAAAATGATTTAAGGTGACAAAGTAAATCACGAAAAAGTCTCTATAAATGCACTAACAAAATTTCTTACAGTCAAAACCTACCAGGGCATTTTCTTTAATTACAAGGTTCTTCAGGACCACAGCTCCTAAAAAACATTATTAAAAAATAAAGTTAAAATATTCAAATATTTTTCATTTTAAAAGTTAGGTATACTTCATTCCTAAAATGTCGTATTAAGAAAAAATAATTACAAATAATGTACATAACAGAAAACAGAATCCAACTACAATCTTATTAGCTCACCTTCATTCTTCAACTTGTCTAATACTGTATGTTTGACCAAAACGTCATTTGTTGTGAGTTATGACCTCTGAAGTTATAGCTCCATGCTTTTACATTTTAATCAGAATTATACAAATATGAATCTAGCAAGGTAGCACGATATATGAAATATACAAAAGATGAATTGTATTTAAATGTATTCGCAATGAACTAGAAAGAAATTTTTTAAATCCAAAATCAGCAAGATGTATAAACATAAACTTCCCAAACTGAAATGCAAAGAAAAAAAAGAAAAGAAAATATAATGAAGGAGAATGTCCAACAACTGTAAGACAATTGTAATATTTGTAACATATGCATAATAGAAATGCCACAATGAAAAAAAATGGAGTAATAATGACTGAGAAATTTCCAAAATAAATGATAAAGACACCAAGCTCAGAAAACACCAAGCAGAAAAATACAGGGGGGAAAAAAATCTACACTTAGGCATAACATAATCAAACTGAAGAAAACCAAAGTCTAAGAAAAATCCTGAACGTGATGCAGAAATCCCACTTCGGTATATACCAAAGATATCTGCACTTCCACGTTTATTTCAGCATTATTCACAACCACCAAGATATGTTACCAACCTAAGTGTGTACCTCAGCAGATGAACTGAATAAGGAAGATGTGATACACACACACACACACACACTCTGAAATATTCAACCACGAGAAAAAAGAAAATCCTGCCATTTGTTATAACATGGATAGACTATGGAGGGCATTATATTTAGTAAGATAAGCCAGACATAGAAAGACAAATATCATATGTGGGATATAAAAAAGCTGACTCATAGAAACAGAGAGTAGAATGGTTGTTACCAGGGGCTGTGATGTGGGGGAATTGGGGAGATATTAAAGTGCACAAACTTGCAACTAGGAAGTGAATAAGTTCTGGAGATTTAATGTACATCATAGTGATTATAGTCAACGATATTGTATTAGATACTTCAAAATTGCTAAGAGACTACATCTTAAATGTTCTCACCACAAAATAAATAAATAAATAAATAAATAAATAAATAAATAAATAAATAAATAGCATGGTAAAGGTGTTACCTAAAGCTACAATGGTGATCATACTGCATGCATTAGAGGGTGAGGTAAAAATAGGTTTACAGTTGCGAGTACACAAAATTATGTGAATGATTTCATGTGAGTACGTGATTTCATGTACTCAAAATGTAAACCTACTTTTGTCACACTCTGTATATATAAATATGTCAAATCAACATGCTGCACACCTTAAACTTATACAATGTTATATGTAAGTTAGATCAACAAAAATTGAAAACTCTTCAGTGAAAGCAGAGAACACAAAGACACATACCAATAGAGGTACAAGGAACAAATTAATTGAAAAACTCACTAGAGAAAGTCAAAAGCTAACTCAAACACAAAATAATGAGTTGGCAAATTTGAAGACAAATTACTTGAAAATACAGAGGAGCAAAAATTTTAAATGAAGAAAAGTGAACAGAGCCTAAGGGACCCATGGGACATTATCAAATATATGCATTATGGAAGTCAAAAAGGAGGAAAAATAAAGAGAGGGGAAGAGAACTTATTTGAAGAAATACTGGCCAAAACTCTCATATTTAAGGAAAGACACGGATTTATAAAACCAAGAATCTCAATCAAGAAACATGATAATCAAGGACAAAGAAAAAGACAGGAAGAAAAAAGTGACTTGACATATACACAAATTCCTCAGTAAGATTATCATCAGTACATTTTTCCGTAGAAACCTTGCAAGCCAGAACACAGGGATGATATATCTAAAGTGCTTAAAGACCAAAAATATCCAGAGAACATTATACCCAGCAAAATATATCTACTTTAAAAATTAGTAAACAATTAAGATATTCTTGGATTTAAAAAAAATGCTGACAAAGCTCATTGCCAGTAGAGTTGCCTTACAAGAATTTTAAAGGGAGTCCAAGTTGAGGAGATCCAAGATGGTGGTGGATTGAGTGGAAGCTACACTGACACTTTCCCAGGACCAAACTAGAGTTACAACTAAAATACAGAAAAAACACCCTGAATAATCAGCTGCAACTGAAGACTAGCTGGGGAGCATCCACATAACCAAGGAGGAAAAGTGGAAACCGCATAAAGACTGGTAGGAAGTGCAGAACTGTGAGAGGGCTGGCTGGGCTCCCACAGGCAGCAGCTGAAGGTCTGGAGGGATATCTCAGCTGTCCTCAGGTTCCCACTGAGGACTCTGGGGCCTAAACCCCAGGCTGGGCTTCCCAGCCAAGAGCACCAGAACTGAGAAAGGTGCCCACATAACATCTGGCTATGAAAAGCAGCAGGGTTTCTCTCTGCCAAGGAGAGACGGCTGGAAATGCAGGCCCCTCCTAAAGGGCCAGAAAACAAAGTTTTGTGTGCAGCCACTCACCCTGGGCTCCGGAGGAAGGAAAGTGGACTAGAGCAGTGTGAGGAGAGTCCAGGGGGGCCGGCTGGGGAATAGATCTCACTCAGAAGGCACCCATGGACCTCAGTGCTGAGTCATTCCCCCATACTGCAGAGGACATCTTTCTCAGGCAGACATTTACCTTCCAAGCAGCTTTTGGCCTGAGGGGGAAGCAATTGCCCCACCCTGCTGGAAAACCTCTGGTCCCTCCCCAAAGAGTTTCTAGAGCCTGAGGCTCTTTAAGAGATTGAATAACATCCTCTGAGTATTTTTGAGTCTTTGCTTGATTTGCTTCTGAATCCAGGGGTTGGAAAAGCAGACCTTTGTGCACATCTTGGTCCTCTCCATACACACCAAGCCCCAGGAGAGGAAACCAGAAGCCGTGGAGTGTGAAAAACTTCAAACAGGGTACTCAAAGCCAGTCACAAACAGCTACTGACATTGGCCTGCACCAGAGATATCCAAAAGACTGTGAGTCCTAGCAAATTTACCTAAGACATAGAAACAAATCCAAGCAGGCAGCCAAAATGGTGAGACCAAAAAACAAGCCCCAAATGAAAGAACAAAAGAATTCTGCAGAAGAGCTAAATGAAATGGAGATAAGCAATTTATTAGATATAGAGTTTAGAATATTGATTATAAAGATGCTGACGAGTATGAAAAAAGATATAGAAACCATGAAGGAAATTAAGAATGACATAGCAGAAATTAAAAAAAAACAAAACACTGGAAGGAATGAACAGCAGATTAGGGGAAGCTGAGGATCAGTCAGCAAATCAGAAGACAGGGTAGAAAAAAAAACACTCAATCAGAGAACCAAAAAGAAAAAAACAAAAAACAGAAGTTTAAGGGAGCTGTGGGACACCATGAAATGTAACAATATTTGCATCATAGGAATGCCAGAAGAGGTCGAAAGTAGGCAAGGGTGAGAGAACCTGTTTGAAGAAATGATGACAGAAAACTTCCCTAACCTGGTCAAGGAAAAAGTCACACAAGTTCAGGAGACACAGAGAGTCCCAAGCAAGAAGAATCCAAAGAATCCCACGCCCAGACACATCATCATTAAAATGCCAAAAATTCAAGACAAAGAGAGAATCTTAAAGGTAGCAAGAGAAAAGCAAGCTGTTACCTACAAAAGTGCTCCCATAAGGCTGTCAGGTGATTTCTCATCAAAACTCTACAGGCCAGAAGGGAATGACATGAAGTATTCAAGGTAATGCAAAACAAGGATCTGAAACCAAGACTACTCTATCAGGCAAGGCTATCATTCAAAATAGATGGTGAAATAAAGAGCTTTCCAGACAAAAAAGGGCTAAAAGAATTTATTACCACCAAATCAGCATTGCAAGAAATGTTAAAGGGACTGCTATAATAAGAAGTTGAAATAGAGAGAATGAGAAACATAGACATAAATAAAATGGCAATAGATAAGTACCTATCAATAATAACCTTAAATATAAATGTCCCAATCAAAAGACATAAGGTAGGTGAATGGGTAAGAAAACAAGACCAATGCTATCTAGAAGAGATCAACCTCAGAACAATAGACTCACACAGGCTTGGGNCGGGGACAAAAAAATCAACCTTCTGGAGGACTTTAAAGGAGAGATTGACAGCAATACAGTCATAGTAGGGGACTTTAACACCCCACTGACTTTACTGGAGAGATCTTCCAAACAAAAAAATCAATAAGGAAACACTGACTCTAAATGACACACTAGATCAGGTGGATTTAATTGACATTTACAGAACATTCCCCTCCAAAGCTGCAGAATATGCATTCTCCTCAAATGCACATGGGACATTCTCAAAGATAGATCACATGTTAGGAAACAAAACAAGTCTTTATAAGTTCAAGAAGATTGAAACCATATGAAGCATCTTCTGGGACATTTACACAATGGAATACTATGCAGCTGTAAAACCGAAGGATCCCTTACCCTTTGAGACAGCATGGTGGGACGTGGAGAGTATTATACTAAGCAAAATAAGCCAGTCAGAGAAAGACAAGTGTCACATGATCTTATTCATATGTGGAATCTAGTGAACAAAATAAACCGATGAACAAAATAGATCCACAAATATAGAAGCACGGAACAGACTGATGAATCTCAGATGGAAGGCCAGGGTGGGTGGGAGAGAGTAACATAAGAATTTATATGCATATATGCATAACCCATGGACACAGACAATAGTGGGATGAAGGCCTGGGGGTAGGAGTACAGGGTAGAGGGGTTCAATAGGGAAAAAAGGAGGACATTTGTAATACTTTCAAAAAAGATAAATTTAAAATAATAATGGGAGTCCAAGTTGAAAAATGCTAGGCAGCAAAGCCATATGAAAATATGTATATAAAATTCTACAGTAAAGGTAAATATATGGACAAATATAAAAAACCA